GGTCACTCAATAAGGTTTGAGATGCTCGAAATTTAAAAATGGAACGCACCCGTGTTATATGTTTCTAAAAAAATTTTTTTTAAAATAGCCAGTTGCTCAGTATTAAAAAAAAATCTATTAATTTTCCTGTATTTCTTCCCGTGCTTTTCATTAAAAACTATGGATCTTAACCATGAACATTTCCGCGCTATGATATATTATGATTTTAAATTTGGTTTAACCGAACAATTAAGTTTACAACGGTTACAATCAGCATCAGGGAACAAGTTTTAGGTGGTTTGCTGAATTCAAAACGGGTAAAATTAAAATTAAAAAGACCAAAGAACCGGGACCCCGCAAACAGCAGCAACGGCAGAAAATGTATGGACTACTGAAATGTTGGTGAGACAAGACCCTCGAATCACATATTATATGGGCATCGAAAAGATTGTAGGCATTAGTTCCGGGAGCATTCATACCATCCTACATCAACATCTTGGAGTCAGGAAGCTTTGTTGTCGATGGATCTCTCATTTGCTTTCCGAAAGCGAAACATACCATCCTACATCAACATCTTGGAGTGAGGAAGCTTTGTTGTCGATGGATCTCTCATTTGCTTTCCGAAAGCGAAATATAGACTCGTGTGTATTGGTGCCATGAAATGCGTCTACGTTTTGAAAAAAAAAATATTTCACATGTCATCGAAATATTTTTTTTATTTCTCAGACATGCAGGTTTCCTCACGATGTTTTCCTTTACCGCCGAGCAAGTGGTAAATCAGCACTTAAAATTGCAATTAAAAATTTCAATGGTGCCGGCGGGGATCGAACCCGGGTTGCTCGAGTACTGTGAAGCTTACAGCGAGCACTAACCATCTGAGCTACCACGGCTCTCTAAATCGGTTTGTATATGTTAAACAATAATACATAATACTTACGTTTATCAATAACAATATACTACGAAAGGAACTTCGTTCCAACCGAGTGTTCCACGACACTCACGCATGTTTTTTTTTATAAGATAAATAGCTCGACAGGCAGACGTTTTTCTGCCCTTTCCAACGACCCTTCCTATAAAAAATCTTTAAATTCGCAATAAAAAATGTTGAGGGTCATTTAGCGGGATAAAAACTATCCTATCTCTCAAGTTGGACCAAAATGCACACATAGTGCAAAATTTCATTGAAATCAGTTCAGTAGTTTAGAAGTTCATCGCGGACAAACAACGTAACACGTAATTTTTATATATAAAGATTACAATCAATTCGTGATATCATATAAGAAATTTCAGTCAAAAATTGAAGCCCTCAAAATGCAGTAAGATGACTCGAGCACACACATGGACACGCGATCGCTTCGTGTTTGCGTGAGACGCGGGCCGTTCAATGAAGCCTGTGCAATGACATGACTTTGAACGCACTTGACCTAGAAATTATCAAGTGGCACATCCACTATAACAATAACCTAAAATTTAAATTTAATAATGTAAAAGTTATACATCATCATCATCATCATTACAGCCCTTCACAAGTCCACTGCTGAACATAGGCCTCCCCCAAAGAATGCCACAAAGCACGGTCCTGAGCCACCTGCATCCATCGACTTCCTGCATATCTTACCAGGTCGTCACTCCATCTAGTGCCCAACACTTCGCCTGCCGGTACGAGGCTGCCACTCGAGAACCTTTCTTCCCCATCGGTTGTCGGTTCTTCGAGCTATATGGCCGGCCCATTGCCACTTCAGCTTACTAATCCGTTGGGCTATGTCGGTCACTCTAGTTCTACTGCGGATATCCTCATTTCTGAGTTTATCACGCAGAGAAACTCCGAACATAGCCCTCTCCATAGCTCGCTGAGCGACATTGAGCTTCCTCATCCAGCCAGCAGTGAAGGACCACGTCTCAGTTCCGTATGTCATCACTGGCAACACGCACTGGGTGTACAGTCTCGTTTTCAAGTTTTGAGGTATACCTGACGAGAAGATCTGCCGTAATTTCCCGAACGCTGCCCAACCGAGTTGAATCAGTCGATTGACCTCTCGGTCGAAGTTGGACTTACCTAGTCGGACATTTTTGTCCCAGGTAAACATACTCGTCAACAACTTCGAGCTTAGTGTTCCCAACAACTACCGGCATAGGTGTGACATGGACATTAAACATGATCTTTGTTTTGTCCATGTTCATCTTAAGACCTATCCGTTGGGAAACACTATTGAGGTAATTGAGCATAGTGCTTAGGTCCTCCAGCGATTTTGCCATAAGGACTATATCGTCGGCAAATCGAAGGTGAGTGATGTACTCGCCATTGTTGTTGATACCGTATCTTTCCAGTCCAGAAGCTTGAAAACATCTTCCAATGCAGCGGCAAAGAGTTTCGGGGATATGACGTCACCCTGTCTTACACCTCTCTGCAATTGGATAGGTTTCGTACTCTGGTTCTGTACTCGGATAGCCATCGTAGCCCTACTGTACAAGCACTTCAACACTTCGATATACCGACAGTCAACTTGGCATCGCTGAAAGGACTGCAGCACCGCCCAAATTTCGACGGAATCAAAGGCTTTCTCATAGTCCACATACGCCAGACATAGTGGCAAATTGTACTCCTCGCACTTCTATACAATTTGCCGAAGGGTATGTATGTGGTCTATGGTGCTAAAGCCTTTTCGGAAACCGGCTTGTTCGGGAGGCTGGAAGTCGTCAAGTCTGCGCGCGAGACGATTCGTAATGACTCTCGAAAACAGCACGTAGACGCGGCTCAGAAGGGAAATCGGTCTGTAGTTCTTCAAGAGAGCGTTGTCGCCTTTCTTGAAGAACAAGACCACCGAACTTCTGCTCCACGCCTCCGGTGTAATGCCACCATGGAGGACGGAATTAAAGAGCTTCTGAAGGACTTCAAGTACCGGTTTTCCACCCGCTTTCAGAAGCTCCGCTGTAATTCCATCCTCGCCTGGGGCCTTGCTGTTTTTAAGGTGCTGGAGAGCCATTCTAATCTCGCTCAGACTGACGTCCGGGATATCATCGGAATAATGTCGGATAAGACTCGCTCTTGGATGGTTACTCACACTTGCGTGCGGCTCCAACGATGACGTGTACAGCTGCCCATAGAACCTCTCAATCTCACTCAAAATCTCAGGTGCCCCGGAAACGATGCTGCCACATTTTGTCTTCAGCTTTGACAGTTGGCGCTTTCTGGCAGACAGATCTCTGGCAAAGACTTTGGACCAAGGCTTCCGCTCGATCGCTTCTTCAATACGAGCTGTATTGAATTTGCGTAAGTCCCGCCGCATGCATTTGGAGATCTGTCTGTTCAGTTGCCTGTATGCTGTTAAATCTGTTGAAGAATGTAGCTTCATCTCGCGTCTAACAGCCATGAGATTAAGAGTGTGATCGGAGAGTTTTTGTGTTCTTCTGCGGCGGGTCTTGCAGAACTTAGCTCCGACCGCATGGACAGTTTCCACGAGCTTGTCATTCAAATCGTCCACTTCATTGCAGTCTTCTAGGCACTGAAAACGGTTTTGTAACTCGAGCTGAAAGGTTTCGGGACTTTGGATTAGAGCACGAGGTGGACGGAGCGTTGACTTCATTAGACGAGACCTCTCCAACTTAACGTTTAGGTTCAGTGTGCCTCTAACCATTCGGTGATCGCTGCGGGTTTTCACCCTCGCGATCACTGAGACATCACTGAACAGTTGTCGTCTGGTCGTCATATTGAAGTTAATCTCATTTTTTGTCGAACCGTCGGGGCTCGACCAGGTCCACTTCCTGTGGGGCCGCTTCTGGAAGAAAGAGTTCATCATAAAGAGTCCCTCTTTCTCCATGAAGTCGGCCAGCTGCTGGCCCCTTGGGTTCCGTTGCCCTATTCCAAATTTCCCTACTTTCAGCTCACCGTTCTCTCTTGTGCCTAGTTTTGCATTGAAGTCTCCCATTAACACCGTATATTGGGTTTTGGAGGAATGCATGGCTCTAGAGATATCCTCATACATTTCCTCCATCTCCTCATCGGGGTGTGCCGAGGTTGGTGCGTAAACCTATATGACCTTCAGCGAATACCGTTTGGTGATTCTGAGTATAAGGTACGCAACCCTCGTCGACACACTCTCAATCTTTACAACGTTGTTAACGAGAGACTTGTGGACGATAAATCCGACACCTCCTTGGGACAGATGGTCGCCCTCCCGGTAATAGAGCAAGTTGCCGGATTCGAGGATTACCGTGTCCTCCCCCTCTCTTCGGACTTCGGATAATCCTATAATATGCCAGCGTAACTTGTCTATCTCTTCTTCCAGCTCCACAATCTTCTCGTCAGTCCTCAGGGTGCGTGCGTTGTATGTTGCCAGGTCGAGTCGTCGTAGGTGGCAACCGAACCTCCACCGGAGATTCTTAGCACCCCCTGCCCCGCCGTTACCATGGTCGCCACCGTAGCCAGGAATAGCGGGGCCGCCGGGGACTGGGGGCCGTTTATTATTGTCATTGCTCATGGGGGGTATATTGCCATAGTTGCCACGCTTGGCGAGCGGGTTGGCAACCGCAGTTTTTTATTGTTATTTTGGCTATTATCAGGAAGATGCTGCTGCCCATCTCCTGCCTGTTTCCCTTTGTCGCCTTTTACGACACCCACGGGAAGATATGGGGTAGTGGATATTCTTAACCGCCACTACACGGCCCAAAAGTTATACATAGCCCAATGGATTAGTAAGTTGAAGTGGCAATGGGCCGGCCATATAGCTCGAAGAACCGACAACCGATGGGGAAGAAAGGTTCTCGAGTGGCAGCCTCGTGCCGGTAGCCGAAGTGTAGGGCAGCCCCCCACTACATTGAGTGACGGCTTGGTAAGACAAGCAGGAAGTCGATGGATGCAGGTGGCTCAGGACCGTGCTTTTTGCCAAATTTTCTTTGGTTAGGCCTATATTCAGCTGTAGACTTAAACAGATATGTAATGATGATGATGAAACAAACTTTTAGTAAATGATGATGAAGAAGACTTTTAAACTAAGCAACAGCTAGCTAGTATCGGCACTCACCTCCAAGATTTCATCGCCGACTTTAACAGCTGGCGTGGCCTTCGCGGCCGCTCCGGCCGGGTGCATACCGCACACGAACACCGCCATCTTGCTGCGGTCTCGATGCCCGGCCAGACTGAGACCGAGACCGGCTTTCGGGGTCCGCTCCAATTTAACCACAACGACGCTGTCTCCGAGTGATGCATACTTCTTTCGGATTTTATCTGTAGGACAATATATTTTGTTATTTATCAACTGTAATACTACTAGTCTATTTAGTATAATTAACTTTAAAAAAAAATCTAGTTATGGTATTAACCTTACTACAGAATAAATAATAGTACTACATACGTACTAATAATCTCTTAACTATTCTAAGTAAGGTAAAAATTATTGCGTTAAGAGTGGTTCACCACGTTAATCTAATGGCGGATTCGAATCTACGTCTCTCCGAGATTGCAGTCTGTAGTTGGGCTATGACGCTACTGTCACCTGAAACAACAACTACCTATCTTATTTTTCTTTCTTTTTTATAAGATGAGGGTGACAAACGAGCACACAGTCCACCTAATGGCAAGTGGTTGCTGTGACCCATAGACATCTACATCTATCCTCGATTACGAATCAAAATGCAGATGCGTTGTCACACCTGAGGACTAAGATGGAATCCCTAGTTTCCAGTAAAAAAGGTCTCCGGTTCTCTAAATTCACCATACGAAACAGCAGCGTTAAGCTGCTATTTTACGCTGGTATTCTGTGAGAGCGTGGTCGCTTCCCCGGTCGAGCCGACCCATTCGTGCTACAACTATACCAGTAATATAGCTGCAGCATGGCTCTACCACGTAAAAATTTTCTTCTTCATCAACCTGAAAAGTCCTGTTTTAGACATGTGTATAGTTATTTTTTTATAGAATAAGGGTGAAAATAAGGATGAGTTGCGGTGCATAGGGTGGTGGGTTCGAATCCCGCACGGAACAAGTATGGCCTACAAATAATTGTTCCGGGTCTGGATGTTTGTCCTTGTGCAATAATTTATGTATGTAAACTGACCCCCCGTTATAGGTGATAAACTAGTGTGGAGGTAATGTTTTTAAAACATATCTTATTAAAACTATTTTTTTACTTATACCATTGGTTTGAAAAAAACCGTTGTCCTGGTAAGATTCAGCATTCAACGTAACTTTTTTTCCATATTAAATGTATACAATTTAAAATAGGTTGTACAATCTCTACATAGTATAAAACAAAGTCGCTTGCCGCCGTCTGTACATTTAGATCCTTTAAACTACACAACGGATTTTGATTCAATTTTCATCAATAGATAGAATAATTTAAGGGGAAGGTTTATATGTATATTTTAATATATTAGATAATTCTTCTGTCCGTGCGTATGTGACTGAACTCCTCCGAAACGTTTGGACCGATTTTGATGAAATTTTGTGTGATTAAGTTGATTAGAGAATGGTTTAGATTCGCACTTTGACCCGGTAGGTGGCGTTGTGGTCGAGATCCAGAAATCAAGCGTGCGAAGCCGGGGCGGATCGCTAGTTATTTGTAAAAATCATCTAAGAAACAACAGAACTCATTTTAACTTATTGCATATTCTACGTTAAATACGAACTGTTTACCAGTGGTACTAAAATGTATCTGTATAATAAGCGAGTGTACATATATTATGTTTAGGAGTATTTCTATTGATATAATGAATTAAGGACGATAATAAGCATTATAGTGACAATAACATTACGAGGAAAATTTAAGCGACCTCATCGTTCCTCTATCTGTCAATAGATGGCGCCGTTTCACAAGGATTGTTCGCGCCAAACGCTCAGCTGAATGGGCCCCAGAGGATTTGACCTTTAAGGGAGCAGCCGTAGGCCGTAAAAAGGATCATTATTATTCCCAAACGAGTCGATTTAAGTCTCAATTAATATAAACAGTGGAATCCAATGAGAGTTCTTTTATACGCCAATAAAAATCGTGACTAGAGCGAATTTTTATAAAAGCGAGCTTTGATAATAATCAGGTTGAAATCTATCTGAAATATCAAAGTAATGATTGTTTTTGACTTGTGTTATCTATTGCTGCAAAAAAGCGTATAGAAACTTGAGCTTCATTTTTCGCACAGTTCACGGCTTCACGAACATTAAGGTAATCATCACTCTGTATAATACGCTGGTAAGAAGTAATCTGGAGTGTAACGCCTTAATATGGTCGCCGCACGAAAATAGGTACAGAGCAGTTACTGAACGTGTGCAAAATAAATTTATTAGATACTCGTACTTATATATGCGCTATTATCTACCCTAGTATGTACCCATTAATGTACACAACTTTATTTATTCTGGGTATGGTTGGCTATAACAAGTTTAGGGTAAGACGAGACCTAGCATTTTCCTTATATATCTTTAAAATGCTTAGAGGAAAAATATATAATTTAGTGACATATTGGGGCGGATTGGGCTGTGTTCCAGACTACTGTCTGATGTCTGTGCCGCGCGCCCGTACCAACTTACTCGACAAGGCGCCTTTGTCGTGAAAGTTACGAAGGGCTGAATAGAATAGAATAGATTTTTTTTTAATTCAATATAGTTCACATGTGTAATTCTTATTGAAAGTCATTTTTTACTTTACCACTGGTTCGAAAAAAAGCCTCTGTCCTGGGAAGAACCAGCAAGAAACCCAGCGGGACTTTTTTTAAAGGCTCTTTTTTTCTGAAGGCATTGACCTATTCTATTGTACCTTGAGTGAATTCACTAGGGTAAGATTGTTTACAATTTGTTACAGTTAACGACCACATTTTTGTTATGCATGAAAAGAAGTACACTGTCGCATTAGGTTTTTATTCCTGTCATGATAGTTGTTAGTTGAAATAAATAAATGTTTGGGATGATAGAATGAGTATTTTATACATGTTTTTGTTATAGGATAGGGTGAGAAACGAGCACACAATCCACCTGATGGTAAGTAGTTGCTGTGACCCATAGACATCTACATCTATCCTCGTTTGCGAATCCAAATGCAGATGCGTTGTCACCCGTGAGGAATATGATGGAATGCCTCTTTTCCAGTAAAAAGGGTATCCGGTTCCCTACACTTACCATAAGAAACACAGCAGTTTTAAGCTGCTATTTTACGCTGGTATTCTGTGAGGGCGTGGTCCCTCCCCGATCGAGCCGACCCATTCGTGCTACAACTATAGCTGCAGCATGCCTCTAGCACGTCAACTTATGTTTTTTTTAAATATATTTTTTACTTAATTGTCAAATTTATGTACACCTTCCCTATTCGCAATTCGCTGTAAACAACAGTTCTTTGGCGAAAAGGGTTGTCTAGAAGAAATTGCTTTCAGAGCGATAAGACAGCCTGTATATTTAGCGGATTTCTACTTGTAAGTGGTAAATTCTCGTAAATAAACAAATTTGTTATATTTTTAATTGTTCTGTTGGATTTTAGTTTAGATAGCCATAAATAAAATAACGCATTACGTTTAAAAATAAATGTTTAATTAAGTTAAAAATCTAATTAAACTTTTTTGTAGGGAATGTTACAATCATTGGCACTTTAGCATAGTGAATGGCACTGTAAATTAAGTATAATAATTGGCACTATTGGAAGTCTTAAAAAGTTATACCCAGATCTTTCTAAGCTCCATTTTATTGTTATAAGACTTATTTTGAACAAATCTTCTTCAAAAAATTTCCTTAGATCTTCATCTGAAAGCGGTTTCGTTAGTCTACCATGTCTTTTTCTTTCTTCGTATACATTTTTGATGTGGCTTTTTTAGTAAAACTTTTGTGTTTTCTCAATATTATGTAGAAATAGAACTTTATTTCGTTTTTTTTTTTTAGATTAAACATTTAGAGAGTATTATAATATCAGAGTTTTTGACTTCGTTCTTCTTGTTTTGTTTGACAGTTTGTTTCTATATTTGGCTGACTAATTCAATTCTGCATTTTCCAATTGTGCTCAATTTTTCCATTATATTTTTAACTTCACTTTTTTAGCACAAAATAACAGCGTTGTTTACGATACGTATTTGGCAATGGAAAAAACTCAATCAATCACCCATTCACCTCCAACAAATTCTAAATTTGCTGCCTAGTTGATGAAAAACATACAGGTTAGTTTTCTTTCTGATACTCAACAATAATCTCTGCAGGTTGTATACGCTCTGGTACTGATAAACCATTAGTAAGTGAAAGGATACAAGGCAAATTTGATAAAGGTATTTCTGATTCAGTTGTTATTAGTCGATATTCTTAAAATATTAGGTAATTCGGCGTAATGGCAAGGAACGGTGATCATCTAAAATGGCTTGCTGTGATTTCGAGGGCACCGGGCACTTTGTTTAATCCACTTTGTCTGGACTAAACGGGCACAACCTACATGTCTCAAAACCATTCATAATGTAGATTAATTTCAATACGGTAAAAGTCTTGCTAATATAGGCCCGCATCTGTTTTAGTAACCTTTTTGTCAAATTGTTTGTCCGTCATTCGAAGACAGGTTTACGCCACATATCTTTGGTCGGCCGAAATGCAGTGATATCAGCTGATTGCAATAGTCGCGTTGCATTCAGGTTAAGGGCTAGAAGTATTATGGCGAGACTTGGGCAAACTTGCGCCGTATTTAAGATAGTAAATAACCCTCTCTCTAGGCACTAACCTTTGAACGTCTGATCACATTTTCTATAGGGGGAAAATAAAAGGTTTTACCGTCTACTCCAAGGAACAGTGATGCAAGACTTCCATTAGACATGATCCACTTCATAGACGTTTTATTCTCGCTCTATAAAACGGTTTAGTATGTATGGGGTATTTATTCAAAAATCTCACATCATTGACATTTTTATGACATCGAAAACTGTGCCAGGACCAGGTCGGCTTTTCAGCTTGTTAGTTTTTTTTACTTTACTTATTTAGTGGGAACTGTAAATTCGCGCGTGGAATGTTAAATGTTAGTGCGGCAATTATTTTTCTAAAGCGCCCTCTCTTAATAGCAGTATTCTTTATAACTGTAAGTTGTACTTACAGATTATAATAATATAGGGACTCCAATAATATAGACACTGAGTTAATAAAGTTAATGTTTATTGCATACACCAGTTATAGCACATACAGCAGTCTTATACAATACACGAATTCTCTGACAGTTTTTTATATTTATACACAACACTATAATATCTAAACATAAAGTACGCGAATATTTTTATACACTACAC